CTTAGTTTTTTACAGTAGTTGTTGACATTTATAATTTTAATGTCATTCACCGTGGCGTGATTCACATTATCACTATGAGTTATGAACGATTTGAAGATGAAGATGAGGTTGATATTCCACAAATAGCTGTTACCTTCTCCAATGAAAACAATTCTGCTAGAGATGACAGTTATGCCATAACTTTGAAAGGGATCAATGATGTACAAAGTAACTCAAGTGCTGTTTTACAACTGTCAGATGATCAAGAAACATTTGCACATCAACATGAGAAACAACATAATCCAGAACTGACAACAATAAGGTAGATATGAAACAAACTACATATTTTTCATTGACGTTGTTATAACATATACATATTGAGTTATAGCAAAATACATATCACTAAATAATTGTATGTGTGATGTTTGAAATTGAAAACTGAATATATTTATAATTTTTCAATGACAGGAAAGCAAGACTTAAAGCAAAGAAATTTGTAGAGCATTTGTATGTCAGGTACATATTAATTTTATTTATTTTGTATTGTAAAATGCAACTGCACATGGTGCAGCTTAGCTCAGTCAGCTAATCTGGTGGTAGCCACTGTGTGTGCGCTGAACCGTGGAGATCTAGGTGCCAGGTTCAATTCCCATCGGTGCCTCTCCTTGTGTTTCTGCTGGAGTGCTGAAATACAAGTTAAAATAGCGCACCGTTTTTGGAAAGAAATGTTTAAGCCGTTGGTCCTGTGTGCATTTATGGCCCATGTCCACGTTAAAAGAACACAGTACACTCTTCGGAAAAGAGTAGGGGATTGTCTCCCGGTGTACTGCCCAATCACCACCAGAAGGACCCCACTGGAAATAAGTCTTCTTCTAGACTTTTGTGGGCCATCCTTGGTGTTTACACCGAATAAATCCAATCCAATCCAATTGATGTTGAAATATTGAATCCCAACATGATGGCGTGCATTTCAATTTCTCATCCGAGATATTCAGTGGATCTTTTGGTGTATAGGAGAGCAAAGATCTTTCACCCATGCCACCAATGCTGTGAAATGCAATGCAATATTGCACACATGCTTTCATGGCCTATCCTCAATCTAATTGGACACACAAAGTTGAACTGTACATGCGAGTCTTCACACATAGTGTTGTATATAGAGGAACATTGCATGTACAGTTGTTGAAACTGCGCACATAATTATAAGAAATGCTGGCATAATTATAAAAGTGCATATGCGCACATAATTAAATGCAAACATAATTGTTGTATTGGGCACCTGCACTCTCAGTTGTTGTCGTGGACAACAAAGAGTTGTCATGGGTGCCCAATTTCATTTCTCTGAGACGTTCACATCTCTTTGCTTTTTTATATTTTGGTTTTAACTTTTATTTGTTGCAGACTTTTTGGAGTGTTCCTTGTCATCTTTGATATAATAATTGTTATTGTTGATATAATTGAAGATCCAGTGAAAGGACCTTATCTAACTACCTATGATGTTATATCTTTGACTATTTTGTCTTATTTTATCTTTGAATTGTCACTGCGTATGTTTGCAAAAGGGTGAGTCTTATATGTAAAAACATTATAGGTCTGATATTGAAAGAGCTCTAATAACATTATAGATGTCATCATGTTTCAAATTACCAGGTTGTAAATAGTTTTAAAATGCCAAGATCACCACCATTCTTTAAACTACCATCATGTTTGAAATACCAATATACCTTCATGTTTTTAAATTACCAATATATACCTACAACGATATAAATAAAAATCAAATGCAGACTAAAATGGCAAAATAATTAAACAAAGGGATAAAATATGTTGTAAAAATGTGTTTTTAGAGGGATTTCTTACACACTTCTAAACAATGTATTTAAATATCTATTTTTGTTTCAGGAAACTATTTTTCTACACAGCACTAGATTTAGTGGACATGTTTATTGTATTTCTGACTGGTTCTGTAACGATTGTGTATGTGGCTGTTGACTTCTCTGATGAAGTACAGCAGTATTTCAAGTAGGTTTTTAACACCCAACATTAAACTAATAATGCTATGCTATATTAATGGTGTTGTGTATGTATATTTCTTCTTCTTATTATTATTATTAACTAGCATTAACTTAAAGAAGAATATCTTTTGTGTTATTTTCCTCTTGAAGTCATGTTATTTTTATCCTTAACGTTGTTTCCTTAATTGTTCTCTACTTTCTCCATTTTTTAAGTTCCCCTTAAGTCGGAGTTAGTGCAATTAATATTATTATTATTATCATCATCATCATCATCATCATCATCATCATCATCATCATCATCATCATCATCATCATTATTATTATGTATACATATTGTTATTTTTATTATTTGCTTAATGCAAAAACATTTTATATTGCAGATTAGTTGTTGTTTGTCGTCTTTTGCGAGTTTTTATGTTTGTGCGTCTGTTGACTGAAAGTTCACATGTGAACAAGGCGTCAAGGAGAATGGTAATTTTTGTATCCAACCCTAACCCTAACCCTTTTAGTTAACTAAAAATAATGTGGAAAATACAGGAAAGTGGAGTAACAGAAGAAGATTTAGGATGATAAAATGATTTTGTACTTAATTGTGAGCATACCTGTTTGTTTATGAATAAATATCAGTTTCATATAATTTCTCTTACTTAGGTTTCGGAAAACAAGAGAAGGTATAGAGAAGAAGGTTTTGATTTGGATCTTACGTATGTCACAGGTTTGTCCATTCATTTTTAATGAGACGTCTTGAAAGAGATTAGCTGAATAAAAATCTTACAATTATTTTGTTTTTTTAATAGATAGAGTAATAGCTACTTCATTTCCGTCATCTGGCAAACAGAAGCTGTACAGAAATTCCATTAGAGAAGTTTCAAGGTTCTTAGACTTTAAGCATAGGGACCATTACAAGGTCTATAATCTTTGCAGTAAGTGACTTAATTGCTTATAAATTTCATTCACATACTTAAAAAAGAAAAACACAACTTAATAATACTGTAGAATATATAGGCTATTGGCTATTTTAATCTGATGTGTCGTCTTTGCCTTTGTGCAAGTAAGTGACTTAATTGCTTATAAATTTCATTCACATACTTGGAAAAAAAAAACACAACTTAATAATACTGTAGAATATATAGGATATTGGCTATTATAATCTGATGTGTCGTCTTTGCCTTTGTGCAAGAAAGTGACTTAATTGCTTATAAATTTTATTCACATACTTGAAAAAAAACACAACTTAATAATACTGTAGAATATATAGGCTATTGACTATTTTAATCTGATGTGTTGTCTTTTCCTTTGTGCAAGTAAGTGACTTAATTGCTTATGAATTTCATTCACATACTTGAAAAAAAAACACAATTTAATAATACTGTAGAATATATAGGCTATTGGCTGTTTTAATCTGATGTGTGTGTTTGCCATTTGAATCCCGACATGATGGCGTGCATTTCGATACTTGGAGTATGTATTATACCATGGAGGAACTTCATGATTTTACTATCTTGCCTTTGTGCTGTTTTGTTATTTATTGTATGTTCGTTTGTCCAGGGGGTTTAGAGGATACCCACATCTTGTGTTGGGCTCTCA